ATTTTTAATATAAAATATAAAATATCTCATAAAGTATTCACTTTTCGATGACATTACCTTCATACTTTTATACATAGATACGTATATAATGAAATAAATTGATTGTTGTAAAACAAACAGAAAAAATTATTTTTAAAAATTTGATTACATTTTATAGATACATTCAATTTTACAAAATTGCTAATGTAAAAATTATTATTATTATTTGCTTCCTTCTATTATTATACGTATAAAAGTATGAAGTTAAAGTTATAGAAAAGTGAGTTATACTTCACGAGATATTTCATATTTATATTAAAAATATTGTAACAAAATTTTAAATATTTCAGGAAATTCTTAAGAGGAAAGAGGACTTTATTATAGTGTTTTAAAAACAACTTCTTTAAAATTTCTTAAAAATGACATATGACACGACTCACATTAAAATCATATGTCTTCCTTCAAACCAAAAAACTTTCGTCTGAAGTATTTCTTTTTAAAATCACAAATAAAAAAGTTTGGAGGTAATTGATTAAAATGGGACACCCTTTACACTTTACATATATGTATATATGCATGGTTCATTTCTAAATATCTTTTCTCCTACGTCTTTTACAAAAAGAATGTTTCAGATAAAAGTTATACGGCTTGAAGAAAGACAAATAATGATAAAATCAATTTTTGAAGAAATCAATTTTTTAAGCTTACATGAAGTTTACCGCCATTTTTTTTTAATATAAAATTATATAATTAATTTAACACTTATATGTAGAATAACTGGAGGAATCATATTATGTAAAAGAAATCATATAATTCCATTAAAAAAAATGGCAATAAACTTTATGTGAACTTAAACAATCAATTTTTAAGAACATTGATTTTACCATTATTTATCTTCCTTTAAGCCGTACAACTTTTGTTTAAACATTTTTTTTTGTGAAAAGCGTAGGAAGAAAGATATTTACGTGGAAACTTTTCAAATAAACAGCCTGTATATAGTGTCCCAGAAAGAGGATAAAATTTTGAGACAAAAGTTTCGTCTTAGTATTTTATTCTCTTTCATTCCCTTAAATATGAATAAAACGCAATGTACAAAATTTATGTCTCTATTTACTTCTCAAAGCTATGTATAGGCGTATAACGTTGGGCGTGTGTGCGGCTTATATGTACATATATATGTGTGAACGTGCATTGTATATGTATGTATGTATGTACATATCTATGTATGTATGTATACAGGATGTTTCAGATTATACGTCCCATTCTTTTTTATCGGAAATAGATAGATAATAGTCAGAAATTAGGGAAACAATTTTCATGAACACAAAACCTATTTGAACTATCTAACAGTGGTATTTCATTTCAGGAAACTATCGGAAATAAAATAAACTTGAGTCAAGTCGAAAATTTTAAATAGGAACATTTCAGATAGCACAGGATGAATAAGAGTATATCCATAGAGAATTTATTTAAAAAAATACAAAATTAGAGAAAAGAATATTTGAAGAATTCTTAAAGAATTAATCATAATCAATTTATTTTGAAATATTCCTTAAAAGTTCCTTATAACAAATACTTTGTGACTCAGTATTTTAAATACTCTGAGAATTTATGAAGATTTGAATTACAAGTGTTTTATTTGTTATAATTACTTCCTGTGACTGCATTCAGCAGATCTCATCGTGAAATAAGTGTTGACTGACATGTAAATTTATCGTTGTTAAAAGTTATTTATATTTAACAGAATTAAGAATTAATGATATATACTTTTATATTATTAGAATAAAGAATAAAAGAGAATACAAAGATACTATAATAACTTATTGAACCAAAAAAATAATAATAAAAGTTACCTGCTATATTTTTAAAAAATTCTTTATTTTATCAGAAATTGTTATTCATTAAATTACAGCGTTTAATATTTAATATTACATTTCTTTATATTACATGTTTATAAAAATATTTAAATAAACACAAAAATGTGTGTATGATAAAATTTTCTATAATTTTGTCTATAATTTATTTTATGCTCTTCAATTTCTCCTGGGTATATTTTTAGTTATTGTATATAAACATGTACATTTTTTTTTAAATATATGTATAAAAAAAATGTATTATTGCATACTCGCTTGATATTCCGTGCTTTATTGCTACGGTATGCGAAAAATTCTATAATTTACCTTCAAATCTAGATTTGCCCCTTTAGAGATTGATAGGGCAAAATCCTGAATTGTTTTTAAGCATTTGTATGGATAAGTTTTGTAAGCAAAAACCAAGTCGATATCTCATCAAACCTTAAAAGATATTAAGGAAAACACATTTTATCCCTTTTTACCCTGTTAATGGTCGAATTTCTAACAATCCCTTCTTACAATTAATAAATGTTTAAGGTTTAGGGGTTTGGGCTGGGCGTGTTGATGAATCAGTCAAGACATTTGATTATATAGATATATGTAGATAAAGTTTATTTTTAAAAAAATAAATTAAAAGTCAAAATAATAATATTTTTTTAACTTTTTTCTATACACAATTTTTTCAATGTGAGGTTTTGAATTAAATATATTTTAATTATTTTAATTATTTTATTAGGAAGAAAACTGTTGTTTACTAAATCAACTAATAATAACATTACGTCAATTATAATTTAACAGTGTCAACAATGTAATTGTTATATACATGTTATAATATACTTACACTGTTTAGTGAAAAATTATAATATTGATGTAATGCTACTGTTGGTTGAAGTTTACTGCGAATACTTCGTAATTCTATATCTATTATAAACACAAATCTCCTTAAAAAAAGTATACATCTGTTGATATAAAATAAAATTGAATACTTTAAGAAGTTTTCAAGAATTCCAATTATGGTACATGTAAATTCCTGAATCATTCTTATAGTATTCTTCTGTGGATATACAATTACTTAAAGATATACAATTCAGGAAAGGAGAAAACTTGAAGAATACTTTACAAATTCACTGTGCTATCTGGAATAGGTCAAGTGAAAAAATATCATTGGATAAGTTTCTTAAAAACAAACAACTTTTGTTTAATCTTTTTTGTTAAACAGTTCAAACAGACTTTTGTTTAAATTTTTTGTTATACAATTTGAATAAACTTTGGTAAAAATAAAAATTTAGAAAAAAGAGTGATAGATAGTCTAAATGTCTTATATATGTATGTGTGTAGTATAGATAAAATATATAGTATAGATTTCATATATGATATTAATATTTATTATTATTGTTTGTTTCAGGAAAGCATCCAGGAAGGAGTTTTGGAAGCTTGAAAGAAGACGTTAAATTATTTTTAATTATTATGTGTAAATATTTATAGTTATAATTATAGTTATACTTTGTAATAGTTATTAAATTATTAAGTAATTAAGTAATTATTAGAACATAGAATTGTTATATATTATTTGTTATAATTTAAAATATTATATTATTAAAAATATATTTATATTATTATATAAAATTAAATAAATTTTAATTATAACAATTTTATATGTATATGAGTTAAATAAAAAATATCTCTGATATAATAAAATACTGTTGTTGATATTGCTACTGATAATGATAATGATAATGATAATGATGATGATAATGATAATGATGATAATGATGATAATAATGATGATAATGATAATGATGATGATGATGATGATAATGATGATAATGATGATAATGATAATATATATAATATTGATTGATAATATTAATTATTAGTATTGATAATATTGATTGATAATATTGGTAATATTGATAATATTATTGTTTGTTAATATTGATTTATAATATTGATAATATTAATTAATTATATTGATAATAATATTGATAATATTGTGGTGATATTGACAATATTAATAATATTGGTAATATTAAAAATATTGATTGATTATATTGATAATATAGTTTGTTAATATTGATATATTGATTAATAATATTAGATTTTAGTAAAATTATCTAAAAGTTATCTTTATTAAAGTGTATATATATATATATATATATATATATATATATATATATATATATAT